CGGCGCTGCGGGACCAACCCAGCAGCACCCCAGCTGCTCTGCCCCAGGCGTGTCCGATTCAGCCACTGGCGGTCAGTTTCAGCAGCGGCTGAATCTGGACGCCAGTTCCGACTTACATACAGATTCAACTTAAGAACAAACCTACAGTCCCTATCTTGTACGTAACCCGGGGACTGCCTGTACTCCACTTAGAAAAGAAAATTTGGTTTCACACATATGGAATGGGAAGCAACTGTCTAGGAAGGAGTACTGCAGAAAGGGATCTAGGGCGGTCAGTTTCAGCAGCGGCTGAATCTGGACGCCAGTTCCGACTTACATACAGATTCAACTTAAGAACAAACCTACAGTCCCTATCTTGTACGTAACCCGGGGACTGCCTGTACTCCACTTAGAAAAGAAAATTTGGTTTCACACATATGGAATGGGAAGCAACTGTCTAGGAAGGAGTACTGCAGAAAGGGATCTAGGAGTCATAGTGGACCACAAGCTAAATACGAGCCAAAAGTGTGACGCTGTTACAAAAAAAAGCAAACATGATTCTGGGATGCATTAATAGGAGGGCTGTAAGCAGGACACGAAAAGTCATTCTTCCACTCTACTTTGCACTGATTAGGCCTCAATTGGAGTACTGTGTCCAATTCTGGGCACCACATTTCAAAAAAGGTGTGGAGAAATTGGAGAAGGTCCAGAGAAGAGCAACAAAAATTATTAAAGATCTAGAAAACATGAGCTATGAGGCAAGGCTGAAGGTATTGGGCTTATTTAGTTTGGAAAAAAGAAGACCGCGACGGAACATGATAGTAGTTTTGAGGTATCTAAAAGGGTGTCACAGGGAGGAGGGGGGAAATTGTTCTCCTTGGCCTCTTGACAAGAAGCAATGTACTTAAACTGCAGCAAGGGAGGTTTAGGTTGGACAGGGTGGTTAAACACTGGAATAAACTATGTAGGGAGGTTGTGGAATCGCCATCACTAGAGATATTTAAGAGCAGGTTGAATAGACATCTACCAGGGATAGTCTAGAGGGTGCTTGGTCCTGCCGTGAGGGCAGGGGACTGAACTTGATGATCTATCGAGGTCCCTTCCATTTCTAGTATTCTTAGAATTATAGAATCATACAGTTCAAGTTCTATGAGTCACAACCCTTTCTTTTGGGGAAATGACAGATTTTCCAGAAGCAGAAGGGAAGAGTAATATTGTAAATATTAAAATTTTAATTTAGCAAGTAGGACAGTGTCCTTTAAAAGGGTCCATTTATGCTGTATCATGTGTAGATATTCAAGGGTGAGGCATGCAAAGCTGAAACACTGAATCAGTATTCAGATGCATCTTTCTCCCTTTTGTGAAATTATATAAAGGGACACCCATCTTTCCTAATACAAGAGTTTTCTAGTATTAGGAAGGTGCGTGTCATATTGCCCTTTGTATACTGTATCTTTTGTGTTCTCCAGGGAACCATTCAACATCTTCATAACCTTATCAGGAAGACAAAGAGGGACATGTTTCTGCAAGGAGAGAGAGAAAGGTTGGAAGGAGAAAATAAGGTATCCTTTGTACTCCCAATACTACAGGAAAGCCAAGAATGTTAATCTCTATTGGTATGATATGGAAACTGCTAACATAATAGTATGTTAGTTATACAAAAGGAATCCAACAGTTAAAACCTGAGCAAATCAAATGTTATTTATATTCATTAATAAGAGACTTTCAGGTTAAAAATAAATTAGTATTTATGTCTATTGGGGCACAAAACTGTCTTTGGGACTTTCCCAAACCAAGCAAATATATAATCCTGGCTTCCTAATTAAATTAGCTGTGAGAGCGTTTCTGAAAAGTGTTCCATGGGCCTGCTTTCGGAAAAGCCGCTAGTGGGCCTGTGCGTCGCTTTGTTTACTTAGGGTCTGTTGCCACAGAGCCTTGTGGCTCCTGTTGGCTCTGATTCACTGTTTCCAGCCAAGGGGAGCCGTGGGAAGCTTCATGTCATGGCAATATGGAAGGAAAAGTGGAATAATGTGAGTAAGATCACACCGTTACTCAGCAATAGCTACTGCATGGCATGCTGAAGTTGTTTCTCTTTTTATCACTGAAGAGATGTCTGAGTTACATGCTGGTTTCACAACAAAAGTGTTTGCAATGAGGTACTTGAAGGAATGGAGGGAAAAGCTCAGCAGGAGCAATGAGACAGCAAGGGAAGATGGCACTGATATAATAGAAGGGGAAGTCAAAGTCTGACACCAATTTATGCTAGCCACATGGTAGAAGTCAGGTTGCTGACTCTAGGAAGTCTTGTTCTAGAACATGGGGCAGCACTTCAGGAATATAGGTTAGAGGCCATGAATTTAGATAAAGAGAAGGGAAGGACAATTTTGTGTGTCATGAAACCCTTATTAGAACTGGACTAACTTTAAAAATCCAAGTTTTACTCCTCTGTATTTATGCTACTTGTCTGATCTAGTCTATCTGCATTTTTCCAAGCAGAGATAAATGCCAAAAAGTTTCACTATTATTTCTGGTTAGTTTCAGATTCTCATACGCCGGTTCAATGAATTAGTTTCTGAGCTGCAACCATCTTAGGGGGAACCACTTGTTAGAGACAAAACTGTTTCTAGTAGAATTAAAACAAAATTAATGAAAACCAGTTTGTAAAACTGATGTTTACAAAAACTAATATTTTGCACCAACTTTGACCTAACAGATTCTCTTTCACTCTTATTATTGACTTAGATAAATTTTCTTTAGCAGGACATTTTAGTTAGAAATGAAGTACTGTGGCTTAGAAACAACTGACACAAATATAGCAAGCCTTATTTATGAAATAATCTTCAATAGCCGGGGACAATCTTACACATATTCAGTTACTCCACAAACCCTCTTTTCATCAAAATAATTGTTAAGTACCTTTTTCTCATATACGTCTTGCCAAACAATGCCAGAAAAAAATTTGTGCTGCATAATCTCCTTTGCATCATCAGGGCCACCACCTAACCTGTTTTTTTGGGGAAAAAACAACACTTCAGTGTATGTAGTTTTCAAATAAGATTATTACTGAGAAGAGAGGAAGTCATGGTTAAGTAACCAACAGTTTGTCAGTTTCAGGTTTGAGAACAAGCTTGTAATTCATTACCTTGATGCATTTATTTCACGTTCTAAGATTCATGAACACTGGTTGGTTGTCCATTTCAGACTTCAGCATGCCTTCCAAACTAGGGATGTAAAATCCCGTTTAATTAATCAGTTAAATGTTATGGTTAACCAATTAAATGGAGACAGGCAGGCTGGAATGCTCCTGCCTGCAGTACACTGGGCCAGGCCTGCTGTGGGTGGGGGCTGCTTCAGCTGGGACGGGCTGCAGCAGGGCTGGAGCGGCCCCCTGACCTATGTACGGAGCTCAGGGGGCTGCTCCAGCCCCAGCTGGTCAACTGTAACCAGTAAGCATCGCCCGGTGCTTCCTAAGGGTGATGCTTAATGGTTAACCAATGAACCATTCACAACCCTATTCCAAAACTCTAGTGGAACTATGTTTAAGAGACAGAATGATTGATACATCAAGAGATGCATCTAAAATGTATGCTTCAAAACATAGGCCCTGAAACAGAAGTTCTATGATGTGACTTGAAAAGTAGACTTCTCTTACTCAACACACTCAACATCTCTGCTCTAATTCATATCTGTTATTACTTTTAGTATGCAGATCCTGTGCATACCAATTGGAAAGTGAACTGGATGTTAGTCCTCCTTGTGCAATAAGTTTGACCGTGTTCCGGTTCAACGTGAAATCATTTACACCTAGCAACTAGGTTTAAAGGGAATGAGGCTAAAATCTGAAAATAATGGGAGATATACCATATAAATGAAGAAAAGCAGAATTTGACCTGCGGAACCCTAATCATTTGTTGGAGGCATGACTTACAGGTCAGTAAAAGGCTCTCTTTGTGGACACATTTGTTATGATTCATAGAGTTGAATCATATTAGAAGGGACCACTGTGATATAATCTGACCTTCTACATAACACAGGCCAGAGAACTTCCCCAAAATAAGTCCCAGAGCAGATTTTTTTAGAAAAACATCCTGTCTTGGTTTAAAAATTGCCAATAATGGGGAATCCACCATAGTCCTTGGTAAATGGTTGCAATAATTACTCTTACTGTTAAGACGCTGTTATGGAAGAGAATGAAAACAAACATGGAACCCCATCTTGTCATTTTAGTCAACTTTCAGAGATAAGTGATGCTTAAAAATACACTTTGTAGCAAGAGTTGAGCAAGTCCTGACTTTCCAGCCTTCCTTCCAACACAGTTACAAGGAGTCGTCACTTCACAGCATATTTTATATATTTTACAACCTGACAAATGTAATATCAAGTTGTACATGAACCTACCCTCCTTTTTGGATTCAGAGAAACAAAAGGATTTTTATTGATTTCAATAATATTGAGATAGGGCACTTTGCTTGCAATACAAGAATGTTTACACAGACGTGACCCAAAATAATGACACCTATCCATTACAATTTAATTATTTTTCTTACAGTTAATGTGTAGAGAAGTCCTGAGTCAATAGGAGCTTAGACTTTATTATCTGGGTGAAATATTTTCCTCTCAGAGTCTGAACCACTGGGCAGTGGGCGGTGATAGGTGAGGGGTGACTCAGCTTCCCCTCGTACAACCACTGCCATGGGAACCCTACTGTGGTTTGGCGAGGGAAATTTTTGCTTTTTATAATACCCCATGCAGGTTCCTGTGCTGAACCACATTATCAAAACAATACAAAAAGCATGTTCTTTTCAAACAAAACACAGATCAGACAGATAGCCTTAAATTCTGTGAATTTAATCTAAGAGGTACCGTTGCAGCTATCATGATGGTCTAGTCCAAGGGTGGGCAATCATTTTCACAGGGGAACCACTTAATGAATTTTGGGATGTGGTCGCAGGCTGGCACCACCCCAAGAAGAGGCGGGACCTGCGCAGAAGGGGTAGGACTAGGAACTAGCCTCCCGTCAGAGTTGTCTGGGGCTGGAGGCTTTGAATTAAAAACACAGCAAAGAGCTCCAGGCTCCCAGCTCCCAGCCCCGCAGCCACTGCATTGCCTAGCAGCCACCTGGCACTGCTGTGGCTATTTAAAGGGCTTACAGGTTAGGCCCCTGTTGAGGTAGTGCTGTAACTGGGAGCCCTGAGCCATTTAAATAGGATCCTGCTGCCTGAACCACTGCCTAGAAATTCGGTGGCACGGGCAGCAGGATATAAATAGAAAGGAGCCAGATGCAGTCTGGCCTCCTGTATATATGATGCCCATCACCATAATTTCTGAGCACTTCATGAACTTTAATGTATTTTCTTTCCCAAACACTCCTGTCTGGTAGGGTAGTACTATTATCTCCTTTTTAGAGATCCGAAACTGCGGCACAGAATGGCTAAGTGATTTGCCCAAGGTCACACAGGAAATCTGGTAGAGCTGGGAACTGAATCCACTCTTCAAAGTCCCAGCCTAGCACCTCATCAGTGCGTCACCCGGCCTCTTATAACACAAGTCAAAACACAATTTACTCTGCAATTCTTGCATTGCGAACCATGAGTATAAATAAAACTAGTAATACACCATTAAAAAAGTTTACAGAGAAATATTACAAAGACTAAGGGTATGTCTACACTACCCTCCTCGTTCGAACTAGGAGGGTAGTGTAGACATACCCTAAGTGAGAACATAAACTTAGAAGATTTAGAAGACTCAGAACAAACTATAGTCTAAATGGCTGTCGTTACTGAGTGCCAAACATTTGTTTGTTTTTATATACAGTCAAGGACCTTTATTTTGTGCTTCGACCTAAGTTCAAAAGAGAAAAATCATCATTAAAGAGGTTCTTAAAAAAAACGACCATGAAATGTGCATTCTCTGAGCTTATAAAACTGCTTGCAGTCTGGAAGTTATTTTAATGATCGGACTCTTCCAAATGTCTGTGTTCCAGAAGTGAAAAATAGCCACTTATTCTGAAGGAAATCCAAGTGCAACTATAGTAATCATTTTGCACACCTAAATTACTGACAGGGATATAATTAGTGGCGATTTCATGGCCAAGAAATGTGTGTCACAGACCATGAAATAAGCCCTTCACCGTGAAATCTGATCTCCCTCTTGGTGCTGGGAGTGCCCCGGGCAGGGGGCTCCTAGCTGCAACTCTGTGCTGGACAGGGGAAGGACAGCTCTCGCTCAGTGCAGGGAGATCAGACTCACCTCTGAGTGCCTTCCACTGCTGCAGGAAGATCCAGCAGTGGATGTTCCTGCAGCTGGAGGAAACTTGTGAAGATAGGTCTCGTCTCCCCTTGCTCCTGGAAGTGCCCTACCATGGGGGCTCCTAGCCACAAGTCCCTGCTGGGCTGGGGAGAGACCGGACGTGTTCTTCCCTTACGTGGCAGCTCAGGGGGAGGGAGGAAGGATCAGACCCACTTCTAGGTACCTTTTGGGTAGGGACCCCCAAGATTACAACAACATGACATTTCAGACGTTAACAGCTGAAAATGTGAAACTGACCAATTTTAAAACCTTCAGGCTGTGAAACAGATCAAAATGGATGTGAATTTGGTAAGGCCCTAGTGACAATATTTAACCAGTGGCCTTAAAAGAAACACAAAAAAGTTACCGAATCATGGTTAGATGGTGTCATCTCAGCTAACTCATCAATAATGCTAAACACTCATTTCTATTCACAGCTTTAAAATAAAATAAAATAAAATAAAATATATAGTACTAGTTCTTCACCTTAATCTCAACTCTACTGCAGCATGGTTCTAATCCAGAAAAGCATTTTCAGCACGTGCTTAACTTTAAACATGTAAGTAGTCCCACTGCTAGTGAGCTTGCACTTAAATCCTTTCTGGACCAAGACTACACAAGATAGTCTCACCTTGACCCATTATCATCCGGAAGGGGTTTTACAAAAATTTAACCTCTAAGATTCTTGATTCTCACCTGCTAGTTGCTCATTTTGGGTCTTCCCCAGTTACCTGCTATTCAGCAGACTCTTAAATCATTGTATTCTCCAGTTGGTCTCTATGTATTTTCAATATATACAGTTATGCTAAAGTATTTAGTAACTCCAAAACCTTCCAAACAATATTTTAATATTTCCCAACGGGGTTATCAAGACATAACTCGTTATTAGAATCCTTATCAGTCACCACACAATAGATATTCTGCAAGGTCCACCTTGCGATATAGGATGATCTAATCATTGCTAGCAGGATATATGTGTTAAATGACACTTTGTTCCTTCCAAATGCTCTTCATTTCACTTGAATGCTTCAGAGATGAATATTTTGGCAGCAGGCCCATATTTTCCAAATATCGTGGCACACAAAGGGCAGAATTTCTTCCTTTCCCCATTTGTATTGTGCTAGAATCACTGCTTCCCAAGAGTCTCCAATTCATATGTAGGCCCAAATTAACACTAACTGAAGCCATTCATTACTTGGTATTATATTGATCCCTCTGATTATCATAAAGACCACATCCTCAATACACCTAAGTTTACAGAATCTGTTTTCTTCAATTCAAATTCTACCATTTTAACCCTCAAAAGCACTCTCTGTATACAGCTGAAACAAAAGCTTTAAACACACTGAAGTGCTGTGGAACTCCTTTGCCTAAATTCTCACAGACAAGGCAGGTGAGGTATCTTTTAGTGGACCAGCTTCTGTTGGTGAGAAGGACAAGCTTTCAAGCTACACAGAGCTCTTTTTCAGGGCTAAGAAAGGCATTGAGAGTATCACAGCTCATCATAAGATCCAACTGATAGTTTAGCATGAGCAGTTAGAACATGTGCGAAGGGACCATTCAAGGTCCATTCATAGAATCATAGAATAATAGGACTGGAAGGGACCTCGAGAGGTCATCGAGTCCAGCCCCCCGCCCTCAAGGCAGGACCAAGCTCCGTCTACACCATGCTTCTGTAGTCATAGGACAAAAAAAGGGGATTAGTGGGTTACAGAA